GCTAACACAAAGCTCAAAACACATGCACCAAGCATTGTACTCCCTGACAAAGATATTAGGCTAGGGCCACAGCCATTCTGGCTTCACAAAATTGGGGCTACAGTGGATTTATTCAGAGTAACTCTGGGGTTCTACTGGAGCCAAGACCCATCAACAATTCCTCTTGGAGTCCACCAAAGTCTCTAGCACAGTACCTTGTTCTCTGAATCATACAGACAACTTCTAAAGTATTCTTTAGGTGGACATTAAATAATTCTGTGACCAAACAGTGTCAGCTCAGGTTAACCTCATATGAATGCAAATGTCCAAATAAAGACATATAAGATACTGTCTAATAAATTCATGCAATATATCATTAAATAAGTGTTTACGCTCTTTTAATATTAATTTCCATGCAGTCTTAATAGCCACTCTCTGGCTTACCTCCAAAGGTCTTAGGTAGTTATATCATAAAGCTAAAGCAAAGGTACCTTGGGATAGATACTGCATGCCAAGAACAGAGGAGAACATAAATAACTTTGCAAGCCCAAATCTGTTAAGTAGCAGCAGGATTATGGGCTGATAAAAAAAAACAGAAGGGCCAGAGGCCAAAGTAACAGCAGTCACAATGGAATAGTAGGGCTTTCTGGACAAAGATAAAAGCTAAACGTGTAGTGGTGACCCTTGCCAGGCTTTCCCCTCCAACAATGGCAGTACTCACCAATCTAAAAACCAAGTTGATTGGGCACTCCCTACAGTTGCTAAGACTCTTCACAATCACTGCACTGACTCTCATATCTGACAGAACTTTCAAAGCAATAAATACATTGCTGAAGGAGACCAGGTAACAGGCTGCTTCCACACCAGGGAAAACAGTGCCAGGAGCCCACCACCAACCGCCCTTCTCTTCCCCTCATTCTTACCAATGGAAACCCCTTTTTGTGCAAATGAGAATGTGATCAAATAAAAACTCAATTTCCTCAAGTTCATATCAACTGATAAATTAATAGTTACATATATTTGTATGATGGAATTTTTGGTAACATAAAAGACTGACACTCTGAAAACCTGTGCTAAGTGAAAGAAGCTAGACACAAGAGGCACATATTATATGATTCCATTTATATGAAAGGTCCAGAACAGCAAATCTAGAGACATTAAGTAGTTTAGTGGTGCTCACAGCTAAGGGTGGGAGAGGCACAGCAGCAAAAGGGAGGAGTCGGTCGTGGACGAAGTCGCTGGCGTAACTGCAACCCAGACCCTAGCTCTCTGCTCAGAATCTGTCACGGAAGAATACGAAAGCTGTAGTTATCCTCTGTATCCAGGCTTCCACGTCCTGGATTTAACCAAACCTTGGATCAAAAAATGTTCAGAAAAATCTTGTGTCTGTATTAAGAAGTACACACTTGATTTTCTTGTCCTTGCTGCCCACTAAAAATTACAGAATACTTTTACATAGCATTTTATATCAGGTACTTAAGTAACCTAGAGAGGATTTAAAGAATGTAGGAGGACATGTGTAGGCTATATGCAAATATATGCCACGTTATATAGGGACGTGGATATCCATAGATTTTTGGAATCCAGAGAGTCTGGAACCCATTCCCTATAAGATACTAAAGGATGATTGTATTTGGTTAAGTGTGATAATGGATCTTTATCACTTGCAGCCAAATGCCATCCTAACGGATGTCAGACTATTTAATATTAGCCTAGTCTAGCTGACTCTTGGACCCAAGAAGGCAAAAGTCAAAGGGTAATAAAGCACTGAAAATATGAAAGAAAAGTCAATTCCAAATGTAACTTTTCAATCACCATGGACTTAATCCTAGGTTTTGTGTTTTTTTTTTTTTTTTAGTGCAGTTATTTTATTTTTAACTATATTTGCTTTCCTATTCTTAATATATCCTAGAAGAGTCCTTACCCCTTAAAAACAAAATATTAAAAACGTTTCATTTTTGAAGTACTGATAAACCAATTAAGAACAAATGGCATATTTATTCAAAGGAATAATTTTGGCTATCATCAATTCTCTTCTGTTTTTTAAAAAAGTTTTTTAGTTGTATACACAAAAATATGTGGTCTTTTGAGACTCAGTGGTATCTCCCTTTAAGCCCCGTAGGTCTGGTTGGCCTTAATTTCAGGGAAGAATCAGATTGAGCACAGACAGCTACTTATATATAAATGTATGCTGTCAGTACAAACATAAAGGATGTTCATGGTATGTCAGGGAAACTGGGAAATGACGGTCAATGTTATCCTGAAACATTAAGGGCCAAAATTGAAGGCAGAAAGAAAAACTAACTTTAAGAAGCAGTACTTACATTTTTATTTTTTAACCATAAATTAAATTACCTCCTTTCTATTGTATGGGATAGGGGCAACGGGCCACAGGAGAATAATACCTAGAAAACAATCTTCTAAAGTTAATGAATTATTTGATTTGCCATAATTAATTTCATGCATAATGAAGTTGCATGCATAATAAAGCTGACCTATGGAAGTATGAAAAAAACTTTGCAACCAGGTTAAACTAGTCCTGTGACAAAGAAAAATTAGGAGAAAATAAAGTAAAATAGAATGGTGATGGGGCAGTAAGGGTGGAGATATGAAAGAGGACTTTAGGTGAGCACTGAGATGGGAGATGGTATTCATAGCAATCTGTCTCTTCTATTTCATTCTTTATAGTGCATAAAACAAACTCTTCAAATATGAACATAATGCTTTCAAGGATTAAAAGGATCTTGTCTTTTCTTTTTTTGATGCTGGGGATTGAACCCGGGGTCTAGTGCATGCTAGGGCAAGCACTCCATTGCTGAGCTACATCCCAGCCCTAAAAAGATTTTTAAAGCCTTCCTCACCTGTCGCTACACAACATCCAATGGATCTAGGCTATTATCTCTAATCTGCCCCTTCAGTCTGTCTCGTCCACTGCCCAAATTGGTTCAAATCACTATCTTTTCTTTCCTCAATTATGCAATGGCTCTTAAAGGTTTCTCATTACTTTACTACCTTTGCCTCCTACAATCTAATTTCGCAAGAGTTGGGACAATCTTCTAAAAAGACAAATAGGATTGTGTCACTCCTTATGTGAAAACTCCTTAAGTGAATCCCCATTGTATTTAGAATAAAATATAAGAATGTCCTATGGTTTTACAAGGATTACTGTCTGCTTCCTACACCTCTCAGATCTCATTTGAGATCTCTCCTCCCAGCAGCAGAAGTTGGAGGATGGGTGGGGCAAGCTGAGACTGAAGTCACAGCTTGTTTCTGCTTTTAGGCTTCTGCAATGTATGTCCCTCTGCTTGGATCTTCTCATGGCTGGCTCCTTGTCATTCAGATTTCACCCAATGCCACGGGTGCTCAAGAAGCCTGGCTAACCATGCCATTAAAGCTATTCTTTCTAATACCATTCTATTATTTCTATCATAGTACTTACCCAAATCTTATTTATATTCATTCTCTGTTTCTCCTAACTAGAATTTAAAGAATCTTGAAAGGGGAGACCCATCATCTGTCTTTGTTCCTTTGCATATCTCAGAGAGTTGGGGATACAGCTGGCATTCAATACTACATACTGGATCTCTCTTGCTTATTAATTTTTCCCAACTGGAAGTGCTGGAAAAAAGACAAAATACAATGGACCTCTAGATCACTGTCAGCTTATAACTTGCTTCAGTGCTTGGTCAATTTGCTTCTTCCCTATAAAAGTTTATATTTTCTGCAAAATCTGTTCAGTAATTTCACAAACTATGACAAAAACCACTGGAGAGGATCAGCATGAAATCTTAAACACTTTTTTTCCTTTCTCTGTCAAAAGAAAGTAGCTCAGCAAGAAAATTCTACTAAAAATAAAAATATATATAAGGACTGGGGGGCCATGGCTCAAGTGATGGTGGATTGTTTAGCAAGTGCAAGACCCTAAGTTCAACCCTAGTACTCGCAAAAAAACAAAACAATCCCCCTCAAAAAGAAAGATAAAAGAGCTTACAAACACAAATGATTAAGGCACCATACCATCTCAGCAAACTGAGAGCCCTTCTTAACTGGGACACAGTCTGGTATCAGCACTTTTATCTTTTGGTCTTGTACTGGAACAACTGATTTCTGAACAGTGTACTAACCTGAATGCAAAACCAGAATGCACTGAATAGTGGAAGGGGTGTGTGAGCTGAACTGAACTAGCCCATGTGCATGGTACACGGCGCTCAGTAAGAATGCAGGTTGTGAACAAAAGCACTGGCACCTTACAAAGGAGCTTCTTTAGACACTAGGCACCTGGGGCTAAATAGTTCATAACCCAAAACACCAATGTTGTTAAATGGCATGCAGAAATTACATTCTTGGCATGTTTCTGGGAGACATTGTACTGTGTGAACATTTTGCAGATGTGTTGCTAATTTATGGAGCTTATTTAGAAATTGCAAAAGCCTGCAAACTGCCACACATTTTCACTTATACAACCTTGAGGATGGAAAGAGTGGGAGGCACCCTGTAGGCCTAGCTATTTCGTAGGCCTTCGAATCTTGCCCTTAGGCCAACTAACACCGAGTATACATGCGTACTTACCCTTTACTTACAGGATCTGGGAGAAATATTTCAGTGTTTTAATATTCCATGTAATAATAATTCCAAGCTTTGATTATGCCCTAAAGGCTAAACACAGTCAGCTGTCCTTGTGTTAGGGCTTTAGAGCCTAAGTGAAATACTCATGAGATGAACATGACCATCTACCTGCTGCATGTTCAAAGACTTAACAGACTGAATAACCAATCATGTGTTATGAACAATATTTTCAATACTGCTGTAATATAAAACAAATCCTTTAATTTTTCAAGTGTTTTATAAACAATTTTACACTTAAGCCAGTCTTGAAGATAAGCACAAAATTTACCAGTTTACAATTAAGAAAAAAATCCACAACAAACTCAAGCACCTCCTCTGTGCATAGCACTATATTCTAAGGTGCAACCGAAGAAATCTTCACCTCAGAATGTGATTTCACTTTCTGGAATTGCATTATCTCCTTTCCCAGAGAGTAAAAATAAATAAAGTCTCCATTGTTTCTACTAATCTGACCCAAACCCTCTTCTGGCTCACAGGAAAGCTAATTTCTAACCAAAAAATTAAGGATGTGATGAACTCAGACCCTGCTTTCCCCAAAGTAAGAAAGCAGAACTCCCTTTCCACTAAAACAATAAGAAATAAACAATTTCCCATGCAAGGGCAGTTTGTTTTGAAATAAGTGTTTTTTTAACACTCCTTTTTCTCTCTAGCTTTTCTTTCAGTTTTCTTCCTTAATATTGCTTTTCTTTATACAAAGCAAATCAGACATCTTTTTATGCTGTTTTTTCTTTCCTAAATATTGTATCTTGAAGACAAAACACTCCCAAAAGCAGGGATAAAAATAGTATTAAAAAAAAAATCTTTAAAAGGTGAGTCACTTACATTACCTCAATGAAGTAAAAAAATAAAAAGCAGTTGGCACTAAGATTAGCTATTTCCAAAGATCTGTGTCTAAACAATTTTAAAACTGTTTATTTTGTAAGAATGTACCCCTAGTCCAAAGTAACTATGTTAATTTTTTTTTTTTGGCCAAAAAAACATACAAAACCCCTTTCAGTTCAACCTAATAAAAGTGATTATCTAGAAAAATACTCCATATTATTGAGTCTGTCTTTTAAAAAAGTTCAGATTCTAAAGCATTTCTAAGGCACGGTGTTCTGGAAGACAATGTGCTTTTGCTGGCGTGACGTTACAACGTGAAGCATCCATGACAGGCACCTTCCTCTGATGCTGTAGGACTGTGAGACAAGTCAGACATAGGCTCCCAGGGCGGCCATGGAACTCTGTGAGACACTGGACCAGCTGCTGAAACTTGGGCCTCTCCTCTGGATCTAAGGCCCAGCAACAGGCCATCACACAAATCTGCAAGACAACAATGGAAACAGTGGCTAGTAATGAATGACATAAACACTCCTTACCTTTTGGTCAGTCTGTTGCCAGTTAATTTGCTATCCAAATTGTAAATAAATGCAAGAGCAACAATTAAAAATGATCACACCTTTACTATGTACCTTCAGCAGTTCTAAAAATGGGGGGAAAGTTAAATGAGTTTTACTTCTGACTGTATGTATCGATTTCCAATTCTTCAGGAGAACATACTAAATTATTTCAGCAATCAGTTTGTAAAGTAAATGCACAAAACAGTCCAAAAAAACTAACTTGTGTTAACTCTGCATGTCAGTTCTCAGAGGAAAGAACTTAGACGAAGTGGTTATCTCCGCCATATGAAGCTCGATCCTACAAAACAAAGGCTGCTGCCTTGCTCTGGCGTGGAAAAAACCTGAAGGGGACTCTGGAAATCACATTCACCTGTGCCCCCACTTCCAGCCCCTGCCTGTCCTACCTACCCAGCCCCATGATATGGAAGGTTAGCTATATTGGTGAAAGCAGGAAGGCAAGAAGCTCCTATGTCACTCAGTAACCTACAGCATCTATCTCATGCATCAACTGCACACATGGCAAGGCACCGGATGACAAATGAGAAAGGCCTTGTGCAAGTGCTACATCCTTAAGTTTCTGCTTACAAGTCAGGTAAAGAACACAAGAGTCAGTCAGTTTTCTCACTACTACATTAAACTCTCAAACACTTTCATAGTGCTATAACATTACACTACAAATGTAAAAAAGTCAAGTACATGAAATAGTTGGAAAGAAATTCCCGTCTTGAACTTTGTAAGTTCTATCTAAGAGCTAATTAATTCAAGTCTGAAATGTGTTATTCTCACAAAGGAAGGGCACTGGGTATGAAACATTTGGAAACCTGCTCTTTTTCTTTCATAACCAAGTACATGGTAAATGCAATAAAACTCATGTCTTCGAGACTAAAAAACTTTCAACAGCTCATCATCCTTCCCCAACATCACCCTGACCAATTACCCGATCCACCTGACCCCCCCCCGCGCATCAATCCAACTTCCATTCGGCCGTCGGATTGCCTTCACCCTAGGCGGCACGATCTCGATGACGCCCAAGCCCATCTCAGATGCCAGCGAACGGATAAGATCTCAAACTACTTGTTGCGTGACCATATTTTACAGGAGGACACAGTTGATTGGTTGGGCTATCCGGTTACCCATCTTTCAGGTATGCAGCCATCTCAAAGGGGTCCGATGTCCACGTAGGGAGTCCTGGCCCAGAGTCATGCGCTTCCACAGCGTCAACTCCAAAGGCCCACTGGGAAAAGGATCAGCACCACAATGAGGTGAATTTTAAAACAGCTGCTTGGACACTGCTTGCCTATGGCTATAGGGCCAAAAATAGCAGTTCAAATTAACTTTTAAAGGAAAGCAAAAATATTTATTAAAAAAACAAAATAAACCGCTATTACCAGCATAGTGCACACATCTGCAATCCCCGCTACTACAAGGAGGTGGAAACAGGATTTCGAGTTTGAGACTTTATTTCAAAAACAAAAGGACTGAAGACATTAGCTCACATGGGAGAGCACCTGCATAAGCAAGCACAAGACCTGGGTTCAATCACCGGTACACTATTAAAAAAAAAAAAAAAAACACAGTCTGTAATAAATGTTAAGTTTCTCTTTCTGGGGTAGAAAAGAAAACATTTTAAATGAATGTATCCTTTTTGTAATATTAAGTATTTAAATACTCTTAAGTAGTAGATCTGGTGGGAAGAGTTTTACAATTGGTTATAACCTATATTATCAAAAACGGCATGAGTTATTATCTAAGATTTTCCTTTAATATGAAAATTTTGTAACTTTATTTAAGGTAGCTTGAATGTGGAGAAGTGAAAAATGAATGCTAACTACACGAAGTAAGTACAAATGTGCAAATTAGGTAAAATATAAGAAGTCATAGATTTTTAGTATTTCTTTCTTTGATGCTGGGGATTGAACCCGGGCCCTTGTACCATGATAAAGTCCTTGCTCTAAGCACCTGAGCTTATATTCCTTAGCCCTGTTACAAATTAAAAATCTTAACCAACAAAAAATATCCTGCAACCTTGCTTTGAGTAAGATCAGGATGCATTTTAAAATCAGCAGTGAACTGCAACAGGAGTTGGATTGGTAAAGCAGCAGGAGCCAGCGTCCACTCATGGGTGACTATGGCTTTCCCCCCCCGCCCACCCATTTCTGCCAACGCTCTGGCTGCACTGTGGCTCCCAGACAACATGTGGAGGACAAGCAACACTGTACACATGGGGCTGCTGCATGCATACTGGGAAGGGCTCAGATCAAGGGAATTATCCATTGTCACATGTAGCCCCAAGGTCCCAACAACTGAGCTGGGTGAGGGAAAGGAATATAATCTGTGTACTAACAGTAAAATGTTCTGAGTTCTTACAAGTTCTGGTATCTCCTGCAATCTTCTTCACATTTAACTTACAGCACAAACCCTGAAAATCATACATTGGTGGCACACATTTTATAAAGTGAGGAAACTAAGGCTCAGATTAGTGACTTGCCCAACAATACATAGTTTTTAATGAGTAAAAAAAGAAACAAGACAAATATAAGTCTGTTTACAAAATCTAAGCACATGCATTAAAAATTTAGAATACTAAACATTTAATAAAAAATCTAAGAATTAACTCTTGCAAAACATATAGATTTTTAAAAAATAATAACCATACAGGTAGATTGGAGCATCCCTAATCCAAAAAATCCAAAATCCGATAGAGTGCTGGACATGATCCTGCAATAATCACACACAAATTTATTTTAAATATTGCATAAAATTACTTCATAAAGGGCATAATTAATGAAACATAAATGATTTTTAGATTTGGGCGTTTAGACCCTTTGGGTCTTACCCCCAAGATTATTCTTTATCATATACATGCAAATATTCCAAAATATGAAACATGATCCTGCAAGTATCACACACAAAATTATTTTAACAATATTGGCATAAAATTCCGTTCATAAAGGCATATTATGAAACATAAATGATTTTTAGGATTTGGGCGTTTTAGACTTGGGTCTTACCCAAGAATTCATTATCATATACATGCAAAATATTCCAAAAATCTGAAAAGTCCAAAACCACGTTGAGGTCCCAAGCATTTCTGATAAGTCAGCACAAGTATTAATGGAACAACAAGCCCACATTTTTACTGGAATCTCTGTGAAGAAGAAAACAGTTGGAAATGACTTTTTTTGCTTTGGAAAACCTTGGTAGCACTGTGTTGGTGGCTCAGGCTGACCTAAACTCACTGTTGTAGGCCAGGTTGCTTGGAACTCATGATCTCCCTGCTCAGCCTCCGAGTGCTGGGAGTAGTAGGACAGCACCCCATTCCACCCAGCTCCAGAAGACATCTTAAAAAAATATATTTTAGGGTGGGAGGGAAAAGAGGGGCGGGGGGGAAGAGGGGAGAATGACCAAAACACAGGTATGCACATATGAATAGAGAAAAAAAAAAAACTAAAAAATTAAATAAATAAAAATATAAAAATATTTTTTAAGACTATCAATTGAATTGACTCTGTATCAAGCCAAAGTACACCTTCAAAAGAAGACAAATACAAGAACTATTAGAGACAAACAAAAAAGCTGAGAAAATGTCAGCATTGCAGACACGACCTGAACTACAAAGGACATAAAGAATGCACTCTTATATGGAAAGAAAATTAGGATGAGTGGAAAACTTGGATTATAAAATGAATGAAATGCTGAAAGCATATAGAAATGAAAATATTTTTTCCTCAAGTTAAAATTTTATTTTCAAACGTTTAAAGCAAAAAACAACTAACAAATGTATCTGGGGTTTATAACATAGAGAAGTAAAGTAGGTCATTACAAGTATAAAGGATGGAAGGGAATGAGTGGATCTTACTACCTTGTAATGTGCCTACCACTTAAGCTAAAGCATGTACTATTTAACAACAAACAAAAACCGAAAACCCAGAGGTGGGTATTTGTTTTACAGTTTGAATGTGGAAATGTCCCCCACTAGCTCATGTGTGAAGACTTGGTCCCCAGAGGTGCTGCTATTTGGAGGTGGTAGAAAAGTTACATGTGGGTCTTGTTGGATGAAGTAGGTCAGCTGGCATGCCTTTGAAAGGCATCTTATCCCTGACCCCTCGTATCTTCTTCCTTCGCTTCCTGGCTGCCTGAGGTAGTAACTCTGAAACTTACCTCGACCTTCTCTCCCATGGTGTCCTGACTCACTTGGCATTGGAAGCCAGCTGACCCTGACTAAAAAACCTCTGAAACTGTAAGCCAAAAATAAACCCTTCTCCTTATAGCAGTTTTCTCTCAAGGTCATTTTGTCACAGTGAAATTAAATTAAATTATAATATTAGGAATGGAAGAGGACATTTCAGATCCTATAGACACAAAAAGTATTATAAATTTCAATTTATACACCAATAAACTCAGTAATTTAGATGGAAATAAGTAAATTTCTGAAAATACAAATACCAAATCAGCAATAAGAGCAAGTAGAAAAATCTATTACAGCCTGTATCTATTAAGAGATTTAACTCACAATTTAAAAACCTTGTCCACAAAGAAGGTTCCCATATCCATTTTCACAGGTGACATTCTATAAATTCAAAAGAAATAATAATACAATCTGTTGTACTAGTTTTCTAGGTTGCCATAACAAACTTCACAAATATTGGCTAAACCACAAAATTTATTGTTCTCAAGGGTCAAGCAGGAACACACCCTCTGGAGTTCACGTCAGGGAGAACTCCTTCCTTCCCGAACTTATTTCTTAGTCTCTGGGTCCCCAGCAGTACTTGATGTTCCTTCCAATGTCACAATTCTGAATGTTTACTGGGTTGAAGGATCTTCAACATATATTTTCTGGGGGGGACACAATTCAACTCACTACACAATTCTTACACAAAAGGTCCTTTCAGAAGACCAAAGAAAAGGAACACCTTCAATCATGCTGAGTTGAGACCATTAGCCTAATCACCTTTAAATAGTGATTATTAAGTAGAATAATACCCACCCTGAGGTCTGGGCTTTGGGAAAGAAGAGTGGAAAGACGAAATGATGTATAGGTTTAAAATTCTGTAAGACTTGAACGCTACTAGAATTTACCTTAAGTCTATTAGGATATGCTATTTCATTTTAAAATGTTAAACTGGCTGGATGCAGTGGATATGGTGGTATAATTTCTTAGCTACTTGGGCGGCGACAAGATCAGGGAGGATCATGGGTTTGAGACCAGCCTGGGCAACAGTTATGAGACCCTATTCTGGAAAAATTACCAATACCAAAAGCTAGTCGGATGGTTCAAGTGGTGCTTGGCCTGCCTAGGAAGTGTGAGGCTCCAAGTTTTAAACCCAGTGCCACCAAAAAAAAAAGTAAAGCAGAAAAGTACTCAGATCCAGTATTTCCTATCTTAAAATCTTACTCTATATGAAATCTTATATTGACAGTGATGAGTAAACCATAGTGCTTAACTTTTTAAAAGTATTCGAAATTCAAGAAGCCCAATTTATTATCACAGATGGAACAGAGCCGAAGAAGCAAAACAGTTTGGAAGGTTCCTTATGCTTTCTTTGTCCAAATTAAGTGGGGCTAGTTCTTATTTCACTTACTGGCAGAACTGTGGGGAACAAAATAATTCAAAACGAGATTTTGAGGAAGAAAACAAGAGAACAACTAGGGATACTACCAAATTTGTACATAGGGAATAACTCCTCCACTGAACAATGGAGGTATATAGGTAAAGCAGTCGACACGGACTCTTGGTCTACTGGGACTCTGACAGCAATGCTGGGTATTGAGATCTGAGCATTACACAGGTACCACTAACAATTATAACATGTACAACTAACTATTAAAAATGATGTTCTTTCAGGCTGGGGTATAAGCTCAGTGGTAGAGAAGGTGCTTTGCATAGTAGCATTCAGGCCCTGATTCACATCCCTAGCACTGAAAACTTTTTTCATCTTATTTTGACATTCATTACTACGTCTAAAACAGTCACCTAATGGTTCTCATACCAATATACTGCAACATTCTAAGAGAACACTGCAAAACTAAATTCTACACTGAAGGTCCATTTCCTTGAAAAAACCAAAAGTGATTAATTACATGTTGGCTAACCAAACCATTAAAAAAAAACAAAGAAGTATCAAGAACAAAGGGACAAGGATAAATTGTGGAAATTTGCTCTTTAAGTCTTCTGATTAACTAAAACCATTAAAAGATTTAGAGAGTATTCTAAATTTATCTGTTTGACGTAGT